TTTCAATCACAAAACTATGTCACAGATGCAATTGCAGACGGAAAGGAATTCTCCCCATGCCCCCAAGGCTCCCCTAACTTCTCCTCTCCTTTCCACCTCCCATGCACATAAACACTGCCAGTGAATTAAGGAGCTTCTGTTTGCCTTTGGGGACTAACTTTGAAGGTCCTTGAACAATCCGGGGAGAAGAGAGTCCTGTTGAGTAAAGCTGTGAGTCCTAGTAAGCTGGGCAGGTAGGGGCTCAAGCGATCAATCTGAGCTTCTGAATAACAAATTTAACCTTATTTCAGACTGGTCATACCAGTTACATCAATAGGTTGTGAACTAGAGCACTCTTACTTTCATTTCATACTTGAATTCCATCTCATTCTTGTCTCCTGGGCTCTAATATAAGCACAGATTGAAGCCTTTTCTAACACATTCCTTCACAGTTTTAGAAGCAAAAAATGTAAAAGTCAAAAAACCCCACATCCAAACAGAATGTCAAAATAATCAAGTTAAAATGGCATGGCCCAAACAGCTAAACAGTCAGAAATGCTAGCATAAAATGTAGCATCACCCCATATAAAGTAACAGTATACAGTACTCTTTATTTGCCTAGTACCATCCAGATACTATGGAGATCACAAGATTTGATTGTCTCCTAGAAATAAATAAGCCAAAGAAAATATCGCATCTAAATTCTTGCCCCAATTTTCTAACTAATAAAGTAACCATGATGTCTGCTTCCACATTTTCGTGACCACGATATTTTAGAAACTGCAACTTGAGGACACTGCCAATTATTATCTGCCTATTACGTGCCTGGCACTGCTGAGTGCTTTTCAGAAATCATCTCACTTAGTCCTTTCAGCAACCTTGCTTGGCAGGATGATGCAATAGTGTGGGCACATTCAGGCTGCCTAGATTAAAATGAACTTGATGTTAGACTTTGGGACTCTTCTGATTTAAATCCTAAGCGCCATCAATAGCAGCTGCATGACTCTTAAGATAGACAGTTCTCACTTTATGTTAAAATGCTTCAGCATAAACAGTGTGATAGGTTCAAGGTTTGGTTTAAGAGAAACTCCAGGTGCAGCTAAGCATTCTATTTCACCACTCAGGGTGGCACAATTTGGTTTTGTAATCAGAGTACACATCCCAGAATTGAAATGGCTTCTGTTAGCCATACTTCTATCAACACCCCAGCCTTACTAGTTAACCAGTAAGAAATCGGCTCTCATTTGAGGAAATGAATGACGGTCATAAAGATGCAAGGATTGGCTGAGATCTTTTAGACCTACTATTGTTGAAATAATTTCTAGGCCCAAGATGGAGTGGCTCCTGCCCTGGGTGCCACGTCAGCAAACCAAAACCTAAACTTCCCTGTTCCTGTAAATGTCCCACTTGACCAGATATAGATTATAGTCAGTCAGCCAACCCCCAAATGCCAAGCCAACTCTGGGCTCTGTACTTATATCCTTGTTCCTTATTCATTTTCTATTTTTTTTCTCTTCCTTGTTTCTTATTCTTTAAGCTATAAAAACTTTCTGCCTCTCACCCCAGTTTGGAGTTCTCTGGACCCTTGGGAATGCAGACTGTCCACTTCATGAAGTGTTAAAGTTTGTTTGTATTACCTAAGTTGTGTTCTTTAATCATGTTTATCACTATTTACTCTTGCATACTTGATGTGTAAGAATCTAGTTCCCTTGGAGATGGGGCCCTAGGCTTTTCTCCTAAATAAATAGTCTGCTATCCACCCACTGTGACTGGACTTCTGGGTGCCTGACGCTTACTTATAAGAGTAACTGGATCCTCTCTCTGGAGTGCTGTCATCTGCCTCTAGGAAATTTCATGCAAGCTGGTGGGTAGAAAATCTGAAAGGACAGAAAACTGGGAGTAGGAGGAAGACAGAAAAAGGAAACAGAGTTGAGATCTGTGTTAGCCCATAGTAGATAATCAGTAATTGGCTGTTTAGGGTTTCAGCACAGGACTGTTTGTCATGACTGATCTTGGAGTTTAATCCAGGTAAAGAGGGAAGAGAGCCCTCAGGTGACTAAGGACAGTAGAATCAGTGGACAGTAGATTCCAGCAGAAAAGGGCTGTTCGGAGTGGGGGATATGGGAAGCAATGAGGTAGAAAATAAGTAGTAGTGCTCAGAGAGTTGAATGAAATTCAGAATATGGCGGGGAGGAATTATTGGTACTCTAATGACCACGAGAATAGGTGGCTAAGGTCAGACATCGAAAGGACCATCTGGGTAGGATTTTTGAAAACATCAAGAATTATGGTAGAAGCAGGGTTGGCAAGAGTCACAGTGAATCAAGAAATGAAACCTTCAAGGAATGTGGCAGAGTGACCTCAAGGGTGATATCTGACTGACTGCACCGATAAAATGAAACTACCAACTCTGTACGATTTGGGTCATTTATCTACATAAATGGTATTCCATATACCATAGGGACCCACTTGTATCTGACTCTTTTATTATGTAAGACTAGCCTAGTTTAGCATGCCTAGATTAACAGCTGATGAATTACTCCATAAAAAAGTTTCATAGATTTTTTAAAGTTTATTTTAAATATTACCATATTTTTTAAAATAGAAGTATAGTTGATTCACAATGTTGTGTTAGTTTCAGGTGTACAGCAAGTGATTCAGTTACACATACCTATATATATATATATATATATATATATATATTCTTTTTCAGACTCTTTTCCCTTATAGGTTATTATAAAATATTGAGTAGAGTTCCCTGTGCTATACAGTAAGTCCTTGTTGGTTATCTATTTTATATATAGTCATGTGTATATGTTAATCCCAATCTCATAGTTTATCCCTCCCCTCCTTTTCCCCTTTGGTAACCATAAGTTTGTTTTCTATGTCTGTGGGTCTATCATAATTTTTTTTCTCCTGAAAAATATTGTTATATACTTAGAAAAATGATAATGCCTTTACAGACACAGGAAAAGAGAAAACAAAATTTGGGTATTTCATAGTTCTTCTCAAATTTCTGCTTGAAACTATTCAGTCTAGATGTTTTTATGAGCCATACAAATTGCATAATTTCTAAAATGTTCTGCTGAAGATAGGTAACCTTAATAGTGAAAAGATCCAAAATCACTCATTCACTCATCCAGTCATTCTTTCAATACGTGATGCCTCCTCCACCAGGTACTCAGGGAAGGCGGCCTTCCCACCACCAGCAACCACATGTGCAGCTGCCCTTAGTTATTCTGGTCAGCTAGTTCATTGAAAAAAATTAATTAGAGCCTTTGCACCTCTCAGTAAGATGGAGGTTTATTATTCTCTTGAAATAAAAATAATTCATTCAGACAATATGTCAAATCAATAGAACTGTCACCATAAGAGAAATAAACTCACAATAAGCTGAAAATTAAAATGGCACGTTTAATCAAAAAGACCAGGATCCTCTCCTGTTAAAACTGTAATTAGCTTTTGCCAAGCATGGAATCAAAAAGTATGATTTTACTTTATTCATTGGCTATAAATCTCATCCATCTGAATTCATTTTCCACCCTGTGGTTTCCTTTTTCATTCTCTAGAGAAAAAAGAATGCTTATATATATGTCATATTTTCAACATGTGCTATGCTACCTTTAAATGTACTATTTACATAGCTCAATGACTAGTTAGCTATATTCTAAATGAACTGCCCATTACAGTTAACTTTAGAGGGTGTATTACTCCTTCTGGAACAGGAGGAGATTCTAATGCAAGTTAGGGTAGATTTTTCCAATTGCTGTGACAGATTCTTTACATACCTGATTTCCTGTCCTCACACTGACACTGTAAGAAGGGTTAATTATTCTCCACATGCATTTTATAGATGAGGGAAACTGAATTTCAATGAGCTTAAGAAACATACTCAAAGTCACAGTAATTTTCTGCGGGAACCTCTGGGATAGAGATCATGTCAGATGAAGTTTGTTGCTATATTGTTCCAAGGTCTGTAGCTTTTCCACTCTGCCCCACGTAAGTGATAAGTCTACGGCTAATAATTATAGTAGCTAACATTTATTGAGAAATTGAAAACAACCAGGCAGGTACTAAGGCATTATATGTTTTTAAATCTCCAACAACCTTGTGACTAAGACATCAAGGTTTAGAGAAGGAAAGTAATTTGCCTAAGATCATAGAATAAATAGTCAACTTAAGTGAGACACACAACTTGGCTCTCTCTCCTGAATTCTGACTTCAAACTATAAACAGATAACTATCCTCAATATATGGTTTGCTACAATACAAAGGTATGAAGTGAGGGGAGATAAAGATAGAGTTCAGATTGCTTTATTCACTTTCATAATTTGGTAGCTCAGATATTTCCTTTAGACTTCTGCAAAATTCATAAAACTGAAATAATGATCTTTTAGTTATTTAAATTTTAAGATGATTTTAGGAAGAATCACTCCAAATGACACCGATGTCTTGATTTTTGGCAATTTTGACTTTGCTCACAGCATGAACTTTTCTCTGGTCAGTATTGCTCATTCTTACGCAAAGATGACCCTAACGGGAATTCCTACCAGGATGGGTTTAATTATTGAAAGACAGGAAGTGTCTTTCATGAGTAAGTGAGGATAACATTGTGACTTGGCTCCTAACATGGGTATATTAGCCTTGCGATCTTTTCTTCCTGGTTATTCAGTATGTAAATGCATACCTTTGGCTACTGCTGGGCATAAAACCAAAATTAAACATGCGTGGTTTGGCAAAAATCATGACTGCTACTGCACACAGCTTTTTAGAATTTCTTAAACTATACGAAAAAACAAATGCATTATTCTTTTTATTTTTAAAAGAACTGCTGACCTGATGTTAAAAATTAAACTTCACACAGTACCAGCCATACATTAGGTCCTAAATAAGTATTTGTTTTATGATGAAAGGAATAAACATAACTGCAGTATAAATGTCTCATGTTCATTCTTTATACACAGAGTCACAGAGTCATATATCTCACAGATGCTTAAGGGCTGGGTTATCCAGATGTTTACCTGAAAAGGGTCTGCACGTTTACAATCGTTTTGGCATCTGCCATGTAGTCTTCCTCGGCACTCATGGTGCTTTCTTTGTCCACAACCACCATGTTGGCAGCGAAAGTCACTCCACACCTGAGTAAATCGTCTAGACTTTGATAAAAACCAACAGAGAAAAATGAACTTTCAATAAATCTCAGTACTAGGATGGTGCTAAAACTTGTTTACACCCCTGCGCTTATAGGCGTATAGGTTGCCCTCATACGTGGCTTTCACAGAGTGGACACTGGTAGATGTTATGGGAACTAATATAAGACAATATGCTCTACTGATATGAAGTAAATTGTATTTGGGGTTTCTTTATGTTTCATTAGATCTCAACCATTTCAAAGCACGCGTTAAGGATCTTTATTTAATAATACTTATTAATTTTATAAATAAAACATGGAAACACCCATTTTACAACCAAATAGAATTAGAACATGTTAGAACCTTGTTTTTACAATTAGCACATTATTTCAAAGACACGACATTCACATTTTTTATCCCTGAGGCACTTTTGGTAAGAATAGAAATGAACACATATTAATTTAGATGGTCAAGCCTAGTAAAGAAATATACTTATTAAAAATACTTATTTTTAAATGTCTATTATTTATTTGTGTAAAGCTATGTGTTATAGATTGGTTCTACACAGCCAAGAGCATGTAAAATATATAAATATTGGTTGCATTCAAGCCTACCTTCTAGCCACTTTTGAGCAAGTGATTGAATGAAGTAATTTTGTTGGTTGCAGGAAATAATTGCTAAACTAGGACACAAGTTCCTATGAGTTACCACAGAGTCAGTCTTCTCCCCTATCACTGATAAACATTTTACCTAGCACTGAATTTAAAAACAATGTTACCATAAAAGCTGAATTAAGAAAACCATTATCTCATTGCCTTTGCTTCATACAAACTACAAAAATAGGACTGAACTGGATAAGGGAGATTGTATCAAAACTTGAATGAGTGCAAGAGTATTCTAGGTTCAGAACAGATTGAAGATAGATAAGAAGAATTGGGCTAATTGATTTCTACATCTTTTGATTTAAAATGAGAAGTGTAAAACTTAAAGAACAGTAGCTCTTTTTAGCTTCTTAAATGGAAGAGTCAGTTCCCCAAGGATCTTCTCCAAGTGCATGATCACTTGAATTAGTCATCTCACTAATTCACTAGAAGGAATTTTCCTTTTATGGGAAGGCAAGAGGCAGGATTTCTTACTCTTTTATACGGTGAGAGAGTATTACCAAAGCTTTGAGTCCAAGATCCCCAGGAGTAGTCCAGAAAAAAATATTTCGCTTGAATCAGGCACAGTGTTCTGTGGCAGGGATTTTATGGCTAAAACTGTGGAAACAGAATGTTATTCCAAATAAATTTCCTATGGTGAGAGGGGCCAGGACCATAACATCCAATCAATATGATGACCAAGTTTAAATCTCTAGGAACACTTTACTAGGGTGTTCCTTTTAGCTAGGAAATTCATAATTGTTCTTACATCTATTAAAATACATTTTTTAAAAAGAAAAATGTAGGTGGAAAATGAATGTGATATGGTCCCTTATGTACCATAAAAATGATGCCTAAATCTTATGTCTTGACCAACCTTATTTTAGTGGTAATCCACTTTCTCATATTTCATTTCTTACAATCTTTACTTCCCTGATTAAAAAATTATAATTTTCTATATAGGAAAAGGGAAAGATAAGGTGGTAGAAGGTAAGCCTGACTGAAAAAAGATACACAAATAGAAGTGATAATAAAATATGAATATTTCATCAGCAATAAATCAATGAAGTTGAGACTTAACAAAAAACTTAACTATGAGAATTCCTGTACTGAATAGTCACTAACTACCTAAACCTGTATATATCAGTTAATTCCATACTCAAAATATTGGCCGTTGTAGTTGACACATAACTTTGGCAAATGATTTTAGTAATTATTATTAAATATGAGTTTAAATCTAAAGAAATCTATAGAATCTATAGAAAATATATAAAATTGGAATGGCATTTCTGAACCACGTAGAAACTTTTTTGTTCTTCATGTTTTAACTTTAAATTATTTATATTCATTTAATATTGTATTGTATTCTTTCTTTCCTTTTTTTATTTGGCTACCGATTTATTCTTATAATTCTGTGTCTATCATAATTTCTCCCCACTATCTTATCTACAAAGCCACTGCCCATTTTTTCTTTAGCACTATTGCTTTACGCAGTTTGGTCACCAGATGGTGGCCCAAGAAAAAAGTCAACATGGATGAAAAACAGTTACAGATAATCTAACTGACATTGCCCCTCTTTCTACCTTTCTCTGACTTCCTTTTCAAAGAGAACTAGAATGTAAAGGAATGAATATAGGTGAATGTTTGTGAGTGTGTTCTAATTCATTCATAGTTTTCTTCGCTTATTTATGTTTAAGGAAAATTTCAAACATAAGCAGAAGAGAATACTATATACTGAACCTCCTGTACCAATCACCCAGCTTCAATAATTAGCAACTTGTAGCCAATCCTGTTTCATCTCTAATCCTAGGGATTTGATCCTTTCCATTCTTCTTTTCCTCCCCGTAAATACTTTTATAGATGGAGAATTCATTATATAGTTTACATCAAAAAAGACAGATGAGAGGTTTATTTTATATCTTTTAAATATAATGTTCTAATGAATTTTAATAGAATACTCTCACAACAAAGAAACATTACTATTGATAAAATATGGATTGATTTCATTTTCATGGATTTAAATAATAATTTTAGTACATCTACATTTTAGTTAGTTGGTTAGTATTATGCAACTGATAACATAAATTATATTAATGTAGAATGGAAGCTAAATATATGTTAATCTGTTTGGCCTTTAATGTGTCCACAGCCAATAAACACTGTCAAAGTTACGAAGCTTTGTTTTTCAGCATCTACAAGATGAAATGTAAGCATGAAAGTTCTCAATGGATAACTTTTAGCATTTTATTTGGAATGTTTTGGGCTGATGTTTTTTAGAATGGAAAATTAACACATTTTATAAGCATACTAGTTTTCGGATCTTTTAGTTTTTATATTTGTTATAATGTCATCTTTATGCATATAACAATTTGTATTTTAAAACGGAAGCATTGCACACATTTGACCTTTAATTAACAAATTTTTGGAAGACTCTGATATGTTACCAGAATAGACTGTCAAGGAAATGCTCCAGTTAATAAATCTGATTTAAAATGAGCATTTCCAAATTATTTTGAAGGTTTCCAGAAGTTATGATAATGATACCAATGCATCACAATGTTGAAATTCTAGGTTTTCTCTACAAAGATGTTAACAGTAATAAAGTTACTGCTATAGATGACACAAAACTGGAATAGCTTTAGAAAGGGAACAAAATTGACATGCAACAAGATTTGTTTTAATTCAACAACAGATTACTGCTTAGGAAGTTTGAATGCAAGATGTATAACACGAGAACATAAGCTCCACATGCAATAAACATATTTTCAACACTGAAATGGCAAATTACACTCATCATGCAACACAGGGGTGCAGCACATGACAAACCACAGGACACCACACTAGTTAGTGTGCCAAAGATTTTGTCACCTACTTGTCAATAGAGCCCACCATGTAGTAAACCATTGGAAACCAACAGATTGCATCCAGAAAATGCATATCTGGCCTAAGTAGCAGATGGGTTACAAAATGAAACACAATGTCACAACAGTGGCAGCACTTCTAGGGAAAGGAAGTAAGTTGACTTAGTTTTCATTTCCAAAACTAAACACTGTTGACAAGATTAATTTTAAGTGCCTTTTCTCTTAACATTAATTTTAAAATGTCATTTGCACTTGTTATGAATAATACAATGCGCTCAACAATGATAAAAACAAGTTGTATTTCTGCTTTCTAAATCAGAAACATTATGGCATTATTCTACAAAAACACTAAATTGATACTCTTAATTTATAACTAAAAAGTCTTGTCAGTGAGTTTAAATTATTCATGATGAGAGAGTCTTGTAAAATGGGGAACTGATGATTTTATTTTGATGATATAAAACATAAGGAACTAAATTATCATGCCTATTAAGAGCAATTTTCTCTAAGGGATATACAGAATCACAACATGTCCCTTAATATATCAACATATCAATAAATAAATAAGTATATGTACCCATCAATATATATATATTATATAAAATTAAAATTAAAGTAATTCACCTTTTACATTACTGATTTCCTCAATATATATTGTTGAGCAAATGTGTACTGCAACTGAAATCTTTACTCTTTATGCATATTTGGGGAAAGAATCATGAACCTGGAAGCTTCCTTAGAAATTACCTAATCTATTTATTCATTTTGTAATTCTTTGAATTTGTATTCATTTTGAATTATTCTTTCATGCGTCTATTCCCTCAGCATATATGTATCCAAAAAGTTTTATCTAACAGACATTTTGGTATACGCAGGTGTATGCAAAAAGAATATGTTGTTAACTTGTACTGTAAGAAATAGAGCTTTTGGAACACATAAGTAAAAGCACAAAATTACAACACATTGTAATCTGAAAAAATAAGGAATAGGTTGCACTCAGGAGACAGAGTTCAGGATCATTTCACAGAGGATATATTTAATTTGGATGTTGAAGAACGAGTAGGATTTGGCTCAGTAAAGGAGAAGCAAAGGGAACCTCTAGGCAAAGGGAAGTACAGCCCCTGCAATATCCCAGGTGCTTCTCCCAGCCTGAAGAAGTCTTGTCCTCCCTGATTTATTTTCTTCCTGTTGATCATACTCATCTTTTTCCACTCTAAAGAAAAATAATGCTCAGTGCAGTGAAGCATTAAAAGAAAACTTACAAAGATTATCCCTGTTGATCACATTCCTACCATCAATAAATTACTTCCTAGCCATTTTAACTGGCCCCATATTACTACATATTATAAATGTACCACAGTTCATTTTAAAAATCCTCAATTATTTCATTTATGTTATTTTCACTTTTGTGCTATTAATTACTGGAGTTCCAAGCTATTTCCAATATCCTGCTATTATAAATGTTACTCGTCTGGACATTTTTGGATGACTCTTTTTCTAGCATTTGTTTTTATCATTTACCCCAAAACATTCATAAAACTTTTCACATTAGTAAATCACAGGTTACAAATATTTTTAAAGCTCATGCTGTAGGTTGTTTTCAACAAACATAATCATATACAGTCCCAGTAGTGGTCATGGCTAGTGCCTGCCAGTTCTTCTCTTTCTGGGCATTGCTCAGAGGGGGTATTCTCACTGCTGACTCAAGACCCTCCATGTCTCTTACCCACCTTGTGATTATAGAATAATACATCAGGATACAAGTGGCACAAGACAGGGACAGCACTGAGATTCTGCAGTGCTTTGAAAGATCCTTTTGACTGTGTCATTTGGGGGGTTATTATTTTGTTTTATCTCTCTTTGCTCCAACATAGTTCCAGTCAGATAAAGTGAGTAGCTCAATAACTTGTGTAGCAGAGTTGGGTTCATAATTCCTCATTATTAATTGCAGAGCTATACCCTGTCTGGAATAACCTCCTCATTTTTTTAAAATTCAGATTATTTCAATTATTTACACTATCTTCGTGACCATCTGTCCACTGTAACATATCTGTCTTCCAAAGTCTTGCAACAGTAGTTAATGTTATTGAATAATTCAACTTAATAAAGATATCAAAAATTTTCCATGTGATAAGAAGTACCGGGGTCACTAGTCCTTATGCTATGCCAACTCTTCTGTTAGAGCTAAAACTGAAGATGTGGCCTTTGTATTCTTTTGTTTTGTCCAGTAGAAATCATTCAAAGTACGTAGACATCAAAATTATTGCCTTATATATTCCTAAAACTCATGAATCTTACTGACATGCAATTCTGCCACAAACATGTATTTACAATGCACAAACAATCTTTCAAATCCTTAGAAATTAACATCTGTATCGTGGTAGCACGATTCATCCTTACATGAATCCAGCTATGTTACAAGGCAAGGCAAGTCACCTGAAACCTGGTAGACATATAATCCTGATGAAGCATATCTAATGTAGGGAGTTTAGTATGCCATGCCCTGCAAAATTTAACTTGTAGAACAAACAGATCCGTCCACTACTTTTACTGATAAAGGTGGTTTAAAAGGAAACCTGAAATATAAAGAATATATCAACTATACGTTCATATGGATTACGTTGGCTCATTTAAGTAAATCGGCAAAGGTTTTGATGGCACTAAACTGCTTAGGAAAAAAAAATGAGCACATCATTCATCAGAGTCCTAACTGTAATTCTATTAAGAAACATGACTATTTATGAGTCTAAATATCTTCATTATATTTAAAATATCTTCATTATTATATAAAATTTTTCATTATATGAAAATATGAATTAGCTAGCTATTGATAGGAAGTTTAAAGTTTTGGGAAATTGCATGGATTTGCAAGTTGAAGATCATTTTTTCCCATTTAACTAATAACTATAATGAACTTAATTTTTTTTTATTTCAAATTCAAGAAAAGAATGCAGTGAGAGTTTATTTTGCTAGCATTTCATAATTCCACTTTTAAGAAGTTTATCTCTCCCTTAAAAATACAGTAGTAGCTTAATTTCAACAACTTGAAATAAATTTCCCATTCTTTGTTAATTGGGTTTTCACAGAAATTCTCCCATCAGTTTAAATAGTGACAATGTCCTTCTCTTGATTGGTAGAAGGGGGGAAACTGACATTTCCTCACTGCCTTTTATGAGTCAGATATGGTACTCGTCCTTCATAGACATTATTTTATAGACTTGCAAAATAACTTAAGATAAATGTTCTACTCATTGTATAAATGAGAAAATCGAGGCTTACAGCAATTCCATAATACGCAACAGGCCTATCAAGAGGGTAAACTTAGATCTTATTTCAGATCCGTATGAGTCTAAGGTCTGAATGTCTTTAATAAGGACCCTGACATATCAGACAGTTTATCATTATTCTTGAAATAAGCTGAACTGGAGCTTACTTGTAGCTCTATGTGGAAAGAAGATTTAGTAAAGGGATAGTTTAAACAAGATGTTGTAAAAATAAAGGAGATAAGCCTGGATCTTGGACTTTAACCTTGTGTAGCTTTGGGTAATGTATTCCAAAGTGTTTGACTCTCTTTTCCATGTCTCATATGAAATGGTATCAGGAGATGACTAGACGATCTTTAAGGGTGAGATGGTAATCAAAATATTTAAAATCGGTGTGGCCCAACAACAGGCCAAAGAGAACAGATGGCCAATCAATCAGAACTGAGACCAGCTCCAATGAACCAGTATCAAGTGTAAGACGTTTTCCAATGTACACGGTTTTATGTAATTACCATATGAAATGGAGAAGGTTTTCTATTTGGAAACATTGTGAAGACTTATTTTGACATATTATGTATGTGAATATCATAAATTTAATTTACATTTTTAAATCCCATATTTGTGGCATCTGTTATTTGTTTCTGGTATATTGAATAAATTGGTCTTCAACTAAATTTCCTAAGTAGCCATGTATTGATATTATTTTCAGCAATGCTCATGTGCATTTAAAGTAAAGTCAAACCCCACTAAGCTAATAATTGTAGAAGTGTGTATAATTATTAGTGTGCAAATTCTTATAACCCAGAAATATTTTAAAGAAAACATCATATTTCTTTGTAATACTATAGGATAGACTGAAAAATACTAGCCACAGCAGAGAAACAAGTATCTCATTGTTTAAAAAAAAAGAGGAGGATTGCATAAAATTTCCTGGAACGTTATTTACTGGTGTTTAGTTTTTGCTTCCTCATTCTCAATCAAAGGAATAGAGAACAACAAATAAAAATGTTAGATACTGCTTTTGGGAAATGCACAGGAAGCTGATAAATTTTACAGCCCGAGCTTTCATCTCAACGCTTTGAAAAAAAGTCAAACCCCATTAAAATCATTTAACAAACAACATCATGTGAATAGCTAGATTCCAAACTGTGTGAATAGCTAGATTCCAAACTGTAAGTCCTTAGGAAAGCAAAGAAAAAATTTAATGCAAAATATTCTAAAGTTAAAATATTCTTGTTTCTAAAAACAATTGACAAACAATGTATTTTTGCATATATCAAAAACCTGTAAGTAAAGTAAGGTCACAGAGTTGAAAGATCAATGAACTATGAATTGCAGAGAAGGTTCTAATTCTAGAATTGACCTTGGAAAAAATCATTTAACTTCTTTGGCCTGTTTTTTCCTTTCTATGAAATAAGAGGCAGTGGTGTAATCAAGTCACACAGACCGAATTCTTTAAATGTTATCATTGTAATTTGTAAGCTTTGAGATCTTAAGCTGCTTGGTACATCTTTCTGAGGATAAATCATCACTATATGACATGGATATATTTTTTATGGAAATACGATGTGAAATAAAGGTTAGGTATCTACTATGATGATTGCCATGTAGTAAATGCTCAACAATTATTACTATAATAAGCAGAGGGTGGTGGCAAAGAATATTAATTTTATTAAATAGTCACTATGGTATTATTCAGATAAAATATTCTCTGATAAAACCTACATCTATATTTATATTGAAATACTGACCAGTTTGCCAGTAACTAAGAGAAACAGAGTCTTCAGATTTTTCTGTGATTGGTCAGATTCAGGAATTAAGACTCTAGAAATAACCACTTGATTTTTATAATTCTAATATACAAACCAATCAATCAATCATTCAGTAACTGGGCAGTTAGGTAACCTGTGAATTCAAAACCAAACAGAAAGAGGCTGATTTAGTTATGGCAATTCCAAAGTCTACACCAGGTACACAGGTTAAGAAATCCTAGCTCCTGCCACCTGTTCATTGGAATAATAAGGGGGAGAAAGGGGGATTAGTGACTCTGAGATAAGATTACTTAGCAAGATTGGATATGGAAAAGAGTGGAGCCCATCTCCACTTCATGGAGTAAACTCCACTCCCAAATTTGGCAAGATTGATTCTTTTATTGTGTTTTATAAGGAATGTATATTTGGTATTCACATTCAGATTTCTCACATATATTTGGTCTTCACCACATTTTCTAGCTCACAGCTCCCAAAACCCTTGGAATTTCCTGAGTGATAACAGCAATGGGAGCATCTTTTGTCGTAATATTTGGTCTCTAATCCTCAGTTCCTGAAATCACTTCAGAGCCAAAAAAGGTGAAATGGGTGTCTTGTTCTTCATAACAAGCCCCTTTCCAGGACCACTGGGTTTAAATTAATGAGGTGCCTTTTGGAAAGTACCTAAGGATGAGGCTGTTTGCCAGGGAAACTGAAGTTCCAACCTGAATAGAAGGTTGGAACTTCAGTCCCACCCCGTGATTTCTGAGGAAGGGGGAGGGGCAGGAGATTGAGTTCAATCACCAATGGCCAATGATTTAATCAATCGTGCCTATGTAATGAAGCCTCTATTAAAAACCCAAAAGGATGGAGTCTGGAGAACTTCTGTGCTGGTGAACAGGTAGAGGTTTGGTGATAGTGGTGGCCACATAGAGGGCATGGAAGCTCCATGCCCTTTCCCCATACCTTGCCCTGTGCATCTCTTCCATCCAGTTGTTCCCAAGTTATATGCTTTTATAATAAGGTGGCAATCTGGTAAGTAAAATGTTTCTCTGAATTCTGTGAGCTGCTCTAGCAAATAACTTGACCTTGAGTAGGTGGTTGTAGGAACCCCCGATCTACAGCCATTCAGTCAGAAGTACAGGTAACAATCTAGACATGCAACTGGCATCTGAAGTCCAAGGAGGGGGTCACTGAAATTTCCAATCTACAGCTGATCAGTTATGGGGTGATAACCTGGCTTGTGATTGGCTTCTGAAGTGGGAGTGGGACAGTTTTGTAAGACTGAACTTTCAACCTGTGGAATCCAATGCTATTTCTGGGTAGACGGTGTCAGAAGTGAGTTGAATTCCCCCAGAACTGAGCTGGTGTCCTGCGCATTGCTTGCTGGAGGTGTGGAGAAACCCTCTGACACACACACACACATTGAAATCGGGTCCAAGAACCCAATTAGGAGATTTACACATCAGGACAAGAAATTATACCTTGAAATAATATAAATAAGGTGAAAGGATAGTTTTTCCCCTTTGCTTTATCACAGGGCTGCTGTAGGCACAGTGCCACTTCTTTCTTTCTAAGCCTCTTCCTATCTGCTTCTCTGTATTCTGGGGCCTGAGTTGATCCACTTTGATCCAAGCCATCCGAGATGGGAATGCTCTAAGTCAATCAACTTGTAAATACCCCTGTCTTAAATTCATCTTTAAGGCAGTGGACACATTACACCATAAGCAAAAAGAGCCAAAATTGGACACTTCTGAATTCACATAGCTGATGAGCATCTCTTATGTGCCAGATCTTCGCCAGTTTCTTAGAGCCTCCTACCAGAAAAGTTCCAGAATAAGGGATATATCCCAAGGCCTTGGAGGTGCTTTGTCACCATACTCTATCACCCTAGCCATCCAGTAATTCAACTTTTATTCTCCTAAGATTTGTTTTATTAAGCTTTTATTTCTTCTGACATTGGGTCCAAGTTTTTGTTCCCCTACACCTGCCCTAAATTTATCTCACCTTTCCTTGGATGCTAAAGTGGTATCAAAGAAGTCATTGAGTCATCAGACCTGAAAATTCTTCAACTGAAACCTCTGGAGGTGTGCTCAAGTTTTAGAGTTGATTACCATTGAGATACTGACTCTAAAACAAGGTGCATCAATCAGTATCTTGATATTCACATATTCAGAATAAATAATGTCATGAAGTTACAATATATTGGGGAGATACCTCTGTTTTGAAAAAATTCTTTTGATAAATTTTAAAAGCAGAGACAAGGCAGCAGATTTTGGCCTCATTTGGTTTACCCTGAAATTTGCATCACTTTAGAGTTTAAGAGGAGAGTTGGAGGATTCTAAAACATGGTATTGATTTAAGGACCATCTGCTACTAATCTGAGTCAGAGAGAGGAATATTGCAATTTTAGTATACAATGGATTTGACCACAGCATTTAGTGATGTATATTTACATTCATATAAGGATTTTGAAATGTTTAAGTAGTCTTATTTCACAAGAGTATATCAAACATCTTCAAAAGAAATGAACATTGTAAAGCACAAACTATTTATGTTATGTTACAGAATATATGTTTTAACAGTGGAAGAATCATAAGAACTTATGATGATGTGTAATGGTATGATATAAAATGGATCATTAATATGCTCCTCTGATAATTAATGGTTCTCCACAAAGGCAATGAAATTGTCCAGTTTTGGCAGAGACTTTCCAGGCTAGTTGATTAATTTAATGAAAATAACTATAATTATTTCAGTGGCATGTTTCCCACTGGTAGAGAGCAATGACCACTTGCAAAAATAGTTTTAAATAAAAGGCTCAGAGTACTCCAGTGATGTTTTAAGTTGTATTTGTGAAACACAATCATATACAATGGTTGTTTTCTACCACAGCACAGAATATATCTCTCAATGAATCATGTGCCATAATGTATCTGATTTAAAATATTCTAAGTAAATTAAATTATTTTTGATAAAATATTAACAAATTTTTGTCTTGTTTGTGCATTTAAAAATATACTTACGGGTTATCCAATAGCAGTATTACGGGATTAAGTTCTTTCTTTGGTCTATAATATGCCCTGAGAGGAACAATAAAATTATACAATCCATTTCCAGCTGTTTCAGCTGCAACTATAATTAGCTTATTTTTGAATCCATAGGCTTTTGCGTCCTCATAGTAGTTATGCTGGCAACTCTAGAGAAGAAAAATTATACAAAGAAAGGCCATTTTTATACTCCACTAATATTGGGTAAAAATATTTAGAAGATCTGGAAATGTGAAATTAATCTAACCTAGTAAATCCTTTGTTTTCTAACAAATTTGAAAATAGTTACATTTTTCTATGCCAAGTTCTCCAGCCTGAAGGTGTGCATGGACAAGACAAATGAATTGCAGGTATGCAGCTTGATTTGGGGAAGGAAAAGGCAGCAACACAGTGTACACATGTTCCACTGCAAACTGAAACTTGCTGCCAGATGACATCTGGGTATCAATATTAAGGAATCGTCACAAGGTATATGTATATCAAAGCATCATGTTATAGACCTCAAATATACACAATTTGTATTTTTCAATCATACCTCAATAAAGCTGGAAAAAAATAAATAATCTGCCTCGGACTTTATTTCCAGAAATAGAGTAATATTAAAATTAAATAACCTTGGAACATTCCAAGTATGGAATACCAAAAGGATGGATATCGATATCGAAAGGGATTATTTTTTTGGTTAAAAAACAAAAATTAAAAGAAAAAAACCCTAATTGTCTAAATGTATACCTGAGCTGGCAAGATAACGATGCAAATACTGAAATGTAAAATACTAATGTTAACAATAATAACAACAAATTACCAAAATGTGTTTCCTGAGGATATTTTGCTACTTCCTAGGGAGCTAGAATTTACTGGACTTAGCATTATTAAATCAAGATCCTTTTAAAATTATCTGCCTGGATAATTGCTTTAGTGTTCTGTTTTTTTAATCTTTATATGTCTTTATGAGGGTTTCTTTTTATTTGGGTTGAGATTTGTTGATTCTCTGTGGATTCATCATCAACTCTGGAATGTTCTCTGCCTTTATTCTTTAATAAAAAGTTACAGAACATTGCTGGGAACAAGGTACTTTGAGTCAGCAGAAACAATAAACACCAGAATTAGAATCACAAAGATTACAGACTTCACTGTTATAAGATTCAGAATAGAAAATGAGCATGTTTACTATGTTTAGAGAAATAAAAGAGAACATTCAAAGCATGAGCAAAGAACAAGAGGGTATTTAAAATATTCACTTAGATGTTTAAAAAATTGCATATACTCTATTCTGGAACTAAAAATATAACAATTAAAAACAGAAGCTCAAAAGATGATTTAAATTGCCCATTTGATGCATCTGAAGGGATCAACTGCATGACTGAGTTGAAGAGTAATTACTCAGAATACAGAAAGAAAAGAGAAAGTGGTATGGAAAAATTAAGATACTTCGAAGATAATGTGAGAATGTCTAATACGCATTTAAAAAGAATACCTGAAAAAGAGATGCAAGAATCAGCAAGAAGCACTATTCACATAAATATTGACTGAGGATTTTCTAGAATTAATGAAATATCCAAATCCTCAGGCTCTGGAAACCCAATGAATCCTAATCCAAATAAATAAAGAGAAAGCCAGTGTCATACACATTGTCATAGTGCAGAACAGCCAAGACAAGAAGAAGATCTTAAAAGCAGCCAGAGAGAAAAGAGAGCTTTAACTACCAGAAACACAAATTAGAACGATGGCCGACCTCTCATCAGCAGTGTGGAGCACAGAAGGTAGTAAATAGAATCCTAACAGGCTAAAAGAAAAAGAAAATTCAGAGCCTGGAATTGGACACCCAGCAAAACTATTCTTCAAGGAGGAGGACAAAATAAGGACATATCTAGGGAAAGTGAAATTGAAAGAATTTACCACTAATAGGATCTCATTAGTAGAATTTCTAAAAGCTGTAATCATGGAAGTAGGAAGACCAATCCAGCAGGAAGGATTAAGGCATAAGAAAGAATGGAGAAATGGGGAGTGGTAAAGGAGAAGGACAGGCAGACTTCACTGGAAGTATGATTGGAGAATTACTACTATAAACAGGATCTGAAGCCACATGAAATTAGGTCACTTACAAAGAGACTGTGGAAGGAGAAGGAAGACAGGCTGAGGCTGAAATTATTAAGAACTTCATTTTTATGAGATCAAATGAGGTAAAAGAACTAATTTAGAAGATTTAGAAGTAGCTCAACTAGTAAGAAAAAAAAAGAAATAGAACAAGGACAAAACAGGGAATTTAGTATTGATAAACCTTGACCAAAAGGAGCCTGCTGATACTAATGCAAAACGAACTGGGCAACAAAATACCTGCTCACAGACTTCATGGACACAGTAGGATTGGCTGCATAACCCCATCTGCTAATCGCAAAATGGGCACTCATTTACAGAGCAGACCACCACCTCCAGCCAGACTAACGCCACCTAAAGAATGGATAACCCCAGATGTTATCGGCCAATCAACGATACTCGGATACATCGCTTTTTACTTTGGTAAAGAGACAACTTGTCTTTTGGCTTTAAAAGACTGTTTCTCCTCCAGCAAGCCTCATCTCTGAAAGCTTAACTTTTCCTGTATCAGGTTCCCTTCTTGGGAATCAGTGGAATCATTTCGACTCTTTGGTTTCCCAACATTACTTTCATCTTTGTGTGTTAAAAAGTAAAATGCCACCAGGTGTGAACCCAAGCTTTATGGGACCTAAAGCTTATATTATTTTGGAAAACCTCTTTAAGGAAAAAAACACAAAAGTCATACATAAAAAATTAGTCACAGGTTCTTGGAAGGGGCCAATACAGGAGAAGGGCTCTGAAGCTTAAGATGCATCAAGGTTACCAAAGATGCAGAGCGAGCCAGCGCTAGAAATGCTGTGAAGCAGGAAAGCAAAACTAGGACTGACAAAAAATAAGGCATCGAGAGACGGAAATGTCCACCTTAATGGACCCAGATGAACATCTGGGAGCAGGGGTAAGGGTTCACAAAAAAACTTTAGGAAGATAGAGGCAGAAATTTTCTAATGATCTGCTAATCTTCCTCAAGAGTGACAGCTACAGCCAAGATTCATAATGTTTATCACATGGAAAAAATAATAGTAGTAAAAATATTAACAAAATGTATTAAGTGCCTATACATTTATTACATTCCTGGCACTGTGAAAAGCTTTCTCCATGCACAAATTTATATCATCTTCACAAGAACCCTATAAGGTTCATATTAAAATTACAAGCATTTTGGAGATATGGAAGCTGAAGTTTAATGATAATGTTATTTGCCCAAATGGCTGAGCCTGGAAGTGGAGAGGTGGGATTTTAACTCCAGCTAACTCCAAAATATAGAATAAAGGAAGAAATTCCTGGTTAGAATTAGTGGCACATTTTAATTTCTGGGAGATGGGGGGTTTGAGAGTCTTCTTTTTATCTGCTCTCTGACTCATCATGAAAACAAATTCTTACCCAGGTCATGTCCAATGGCCATACTGTGAAAGAGAAAGATTCCTGCTTTCTTGGAATCTTTCTGTTTTGGATGGTTTCTCCTGAATATCAAGGCAGGAACCAAGAACTACTGTAAAATCTTTAGGAAAGGGGACATTAAGCAAGACACTTCCAGTCTAATAATTCAATAATGAATTATGACTAGCTAATTTCACCATGTCAAGCGATTCCACTTTGAGATTTGAGGCAAAAATGTCTAGTAAGATAAATAGAGCGCATCTGGCCAAAATGATCTGGGGAGACTCTGGTTTGAGGCTCTGGCATCTTTGTTTTTCTCTTTGAAACAATGACTGACCAACTTGTTGGCTACATTAGTAGAGGGTAAAGCACTTGGGTAACCTTTAGTGAAGTTAAGAAAGTAAAATTCACCACTTTATGTATTACATTTACATTTGAAAGATAATATTCTTTTAACATATTTCAGTCAAAAGACTATACAAAATTATTTAAATACATGTAATTACACAATGCCATCATTTTAGTTTTACAGAAAATAACAGCAGTAAGTGCTTACCTTGTCTAGTCTTAAGCAGCAAAATGGCACTTTTTCATGAAGGAGATGACAAAAAGTGGGTGAACTGCCTATATATGGAGAGTAAGGTGGGTAGCCTTTAGCATATCTGTAAAACAATAGGAAATATTGAATTGCCTTGAATTAATGCAGGCAAAGTCAGACAATCAAGTTATGGCCATGTTCCTCTACTTTGATAAAGTTAGATGCAGTAATTCTTTATTTTGATATGGACATAGTTTAGAACAGGGCCCATGGACCTAATCTGGCTCATCGCATGGTTTTCTGAACTAAAGTAGTTTTAATATTTTTAAATGGTTGGAAAAACAAGTCAAAAGAAGAATAATATTTCAGCTCGAGAAATTATATGAAATTTCAATTTCAGTGTCCAGAAGTGAGTTTTGTCAGAACACTGTCATGCTCACTCATTTTATGTATTGTCTTGGGGTGCTTTCACACTTCAGAAACAGAGTTGAGTAGCTGGGGCAAAGACCACATGGTCCATAAAGCTGGAAATATTTACTAGCTGGTTCTTTCCAGAAAAAGTTTGCCAATCCTCAGTTTAAAAGATTTAGACACATTTTAGAAAATAGTAATGTTAATCTTTACAAAATACATGAAAGCAAAATGCATTATTATGATTCACTCTATCACTATTCATCAGGCATGGATGCATAACCAAAAAAGAGTAAATCATTTTAGATTGAGTAAATTATTCCCTTAGACCCACACAAAAGCCAGAGTTTTTGCTGGAATCACGCTTAAATATTATCAAAGATGCTCAGTTTATTTGCTGACTTTATAAATATAGTCACATTATGGTTGTAAAATTTTCAAAATGAAACTATCAAAAAGTAGCAGCACAAATGAAAATTAAGAAATAAAAGAAAATTTAGTAGAGGCAAAGTTATTTTATCCAATATGAAAGCTCTTTTTTGATAAAGAAAATTTATCTTTCAAACCAAGAAATTTCAAATCTAGTTATTCCAGACATCATTAGCTAGGATGGTAAAATGGAGAACATTTTGCAAATTTAGAAGTTGATAGTCTCCCACTATTACTTCAACATCTTTTTCATTTTTCTAGATATAAAAAAAAATTCCACCTCAGTTTTTTCAGTACATGTAAAGAAAGAATTTGTATCACACCACACAACACCATTTCTAGAAATATACTGGTGGTCAAACCTCTTCTTATTCCTGTCAAATATTTCATAAATCTATTTGAGTATTATTAATTTCTTGGAGAGTGGACTTGTCTTCTGTGGGTATGTGTAAGTTTCTTGTAATAAATATTTAAAAGTGTGAAGGATTAACAGAAGGATTTTTCTAAGTTTCAATTATATTTCAGTTCATTTTAGTTCAGTTCAACATTGATTGAACTTCTATTATATGAAAAATATTAGAAGTGTTTGAATGATGTTACCTTTGCCACTACGACCAATACTACACCAAATAGTATTTAATACTCATTGAATGCTTACTCTGCACAAACCATTGTCCTAAGCACATTACTCTATTACCTCAATTAATCTTCATATGAACACTATTTACAGATAAAGCATCGTGGGTCAGAAGATTTAATCAAAGTCACTGGCACACAACCAGTATAAGGTAGAACTGCCATGGGACACAAATTCCTTCAGACTCCACTGTCAAGACTGTTGAACACTGTGCTTTCCTCATGAAATGCCAACAGGGCTTCACTGGTGGCGCAGTTGTTGAGAGTCCACCTGCCGATGCAGGGGACATGGGTTCATGCCCCCGTCCGGGAAGATCCCACATGCCGCGGAGCGGCTGGGCCCGTGAGCCATGGCCGCTGATCCTGCGCGTCCGGAGCCTGTGCTCCGCAACGGGGGAGGCCACAACAGTGAGAGGCCCGGGTACCGCAAAAAAAAAAAAAGAAATGCCAACATAATATACAAGTAAACAAACTCTACTGTAGGCTAAAATGTGATTAATAGCTTAAACATTGATACTATCTGTTATGGAATCTTAGTAAAGAGAACTAGTACTTCCTTTATTCATTCATTCAAAATATTATTGATGTATCCTGAATAAAAATGATTGCTGAATGCTGAAATAAGAGAAGCTTAATGGAAGAAGCTGCATTACATGTCATTGAATAATTGATTGAACTTCAATATGGAAGTGAAAAAATAAATTAGAGGTAGAAGGTACATTATAATTCAACAAAATCATATAATTATGAAAATACAAACTGTATCCTTAAAGAAAAATATGTAAAATATGATATAGGTTATATCATGGAAATGCTGATTTACCTATTTTTTTCTTTAAGGATAAAGGATAATATAGAGAAAAATGAGGCTGTCAATAGCTGTTGAAGCCAGAAATTTGAGGACTTAGGTTACTTTATCATCAAGAGAGATACTGGCTAATAGGAAGGGTGTTTTGGTAGAAGCATGTAGGATTGATTCTAGGATGTCCAGAAGGGAAGGATATTAGTTTTTCATGGCAAGCACAAATCCCAGTAAATCTTACAAACATACTCCACATTTGAGGACATTTCTTCATCTGGTGTAGTTTCATCTTCTGATTGATCACTTAGAAGATCGCATGTTTGAAGTGATGACGTATCTGCAACCTCTAAAACGGGAGCAATGCTGGGTCTTCTGACTTCTTTGTTTCCTTCTGAAGGAAGAGACAGGGTAGGGCCACTTGCTGACCTACAGCTTGTGTCTTGCAAGTCTATGGCCACAGTACCTGGAACAATGAGACATAAAAATCCATCAAAGCATTTGCCACCTAACCTATAGGACCTGTCAATCATTTAATGATCAAAGTAAGATGAAATACAGCCAGTATAACCAGGAAATATACGATATACTGTTTATCCTTTAATCTCAAAGGTTATTTATTTCTTTTTAATATGGGTCTTTTTGCCCGCATGGATAAAAAAATTTCTATATTTGTGCAAAAGTGTATTTGCTGCAACCAGCTCTATAGTATGAAACATAAGATTTGTGAAATCCTGAAATACTTAGAAATTTCAGTTAAAAAAATACCTTGTTTCCATTTATATTTATTTAAAATTAATGAAAAAAATTTAGGCCATTTGCATTTTGTGGGTTTCTCATTATATCTTTTTCCCCCATCTTGTTATCTTTCTCTTACTGATTTATAAATGCTTTTTTACATTAGAACCATTAATGTTTATGTTTATTCAACAAATATTTATTAAGTACTCTGTGTGGCAAGCACTAGTCTAGGCACTTGAGATATGCAAGGAACAAGGCAGACAAGGTTTCTACACATACAGATTTATCTTTAAGATAATCAAGTGGACAGAGAAGTGAAAAAAGTAATTCCTGATAACGCTAAATACCATGCAGAAAATAAAACAGAGTTATGTGATACGGAATAGTGGGGATGGGAAGCGGGAGGAGGGATGAGCTTTTCACTAGGCGATGACAAGGGCTACTCTGAAATCATGACATTTGATTTTTTTGACCTAAAAGAAAATCATGAGCACAGGAGCCACGGAAATACCTTGGGGCAATAAGAAGAGCGAATCTAAATAGCTTAAGGCTTTTGAATTCTTGGGATACTCAAGGAATAGTAAGCGGAAGAAACAACTTCCTTTGAGATTTTAAATTAACATTTAAAAACTAGTCTAAACATCAGTATATGGAAAGTGGATGTCTCTCCCCTTCTGGAAGAAATAATCCAATCTAACGGATAAGTGCCTCCATATTTTACGATAACTCACTTCATGTATGCTTTTATGGATAGCCGGTCATCCTTCTGAAAGCCCTTAGTCCTCATTTCGTCTCATTCTTCGAAGCAACTCTTAAAACACTCTCCACTTCCTTCAGACTTCTGTCTGACCTTGCCACCTTCTTCACTATGACAGCCTGAGTTTGTAAAGGGGGGGGAAAAACCTCATGGGTTTTGGCATCTCAATGTTTCTGAGTGTGAAAGTTGATAGAAACAAGAGACTGGGGAGTATATCTGGGTATTCCTCAACATTGAAATGTGGGAGGTCAGGTTTTAGAGGCTAGTACCTCTTCATATACTATACACAACACTCAGATTAGAGGGAGGGGTGGGCTGGTGTGTCAACAGGGAAGACTCCTGCGAGGGGCCTGTAAGAATATGTCTAGAGCTGCTGTGCCCGAGGAAAGGACGTGATGACCAGCAGTCAGCAATTCCAGTATCTGAGCAGAGACAAAGGCGGTTGGCATCAGAAGCTGTACACTTGGCCACTGTTTTAGCACCATAAATAAGGATTAATTTATAATTCAATCTATCTTAGAGGTGAGATGGAGATCTTAGAAAAACTGAGATTGACTTTTCCACTAATCAGGTGACTGGATCTGATCAAACATGAAATTTTATAAGGTTGATTTATCGAAATAAAGCCATATGATATGATTTGCATCTTAATACTATTAATCCAAATCCATATTTATGACGTTTGTCCCCTGCAGATGACCACGTCGTCTAATTCAGAGAGAAAAGAGAAGTTACGGCAGAAGAAATCCTTCAACTTCTTCAAGCAAATGAACATGAGAGTTTCACCAGACATTTTTTTTTCCCCTCATTTACGTTTGGAATGAAACAGACATACCTCCATTTATGTAAAACTAAGCCCTACTCTTGCGGTGGGGATAAGTCCCCACCTGCTTCCTAAGGAACCATGTTCTCTGAATTCCACCCCCTCCCAAATATGTCTCCACATCACCTCCAGTTACATCTTCACCATCTTCCTGACCAACACAGGAAATGTGGTCTCTCCCTGACAATTCTGTCAACACTGATATCTGGCACCAAGCTGGGCTTGGGGGATATGACCAAGAGAAAGTCAGAATTTAGCAGAGGGAAGACACAATTTTAGAAAGCAGTCACAGTTACAGAAACAAGCTCTTCTTTGAATCCTTCCTTCCCCTAACAAAACCTGCCTCTTCTCCGACATCTTTCCCTGCAGTTCTGAAGGCTGCAACACCTAAAGAGATGTCTGTGTTTTGGAAGTGGGGAGATACCCTCAATGTTCTCACTGCCTCTTTCAGACCATTTTCCTTTCATCACCTATAATACCCCAGCTCTGTACCCAGTATCTTTCACTATATTATTTGTTCAGTCCTGTGTCTGTCATCCCACGTAGTGTTTTTTTTCTTTTTATTGAAGTACTGCTAACAACATTATATTAGTTTTATATTAGTTTCAGGTGTACACATAGTGATTCCATGTTTTTTTTATAGACTATACTCCACTAATGGCCTTTTCTCCCATCATTCCTTAGCCATTCACTTTCACGGTCATACCCTAGATTTTATAATTACTATTGACTACACATAAGCTCTATTTCTGGCATCTCATTCTTTGATACTTATTGTCACCTCTTCTCTTGCCAGCTCCCTCCTTTCTGATTCCCACTGGAACTATAATCTATTAAATTCACTAGCTTTTCAGTCTCCTTCAACCAACAGATGTCTTTTTACTTCCTTACCTGAGCTAAGTTCCATGGTCCGTCACTGTACCCATTCTCTTACCTATACTCCTGATTAACTTGCCCTTCTCACTTTCTCGCACATCTACCATTGCCACCAAGTCTTTTCTTTGCACTCTTTTTCAGCACAACTTTTTCAGAGTCGTCTAGACCTAGTTTCTCTACACTGTCTTCTGCCATTCTGTCATAAACCCCTCTGACCTGGCATTCTCCACCACCACGTCATTGAAAGGGCTGTTATCAAGGCAAAGAACACTGTTTTGCTAAATTCAATGGCCAGTTCTCAGTTCTCATGTTATTTGACCTACCAGCAGCATCAGACATGGCTGGTGACTCCACCCTCTGCATACACTTGATTCATTTGGGTCCCAGGACAGGACACTCATCTGGTTTCCCTGCTACCTTGTAGTAGCTCCTTCTTTGTCTCCTTTGCTGGTTTCTTCTCATCATCCTGATATTAATATTGACACGCTGTAGGATTTGGTCCTTTGTCTTCATCCCTTTTCTGCCCACAATCATTTTCTCAATGATCTTGTTCAGTCTCATGGCTTTAAATATAATACATACGCTCAGGAATCCAAAATTTACTTTTTCAGCATACACCTCTCTCCTGAACTCTAGACTCCTATCTCTTTTTTTTTTTTGCAGTACATGGGCCTCTCACTGCTGTGGCCTCTCCTGTTGTGGAGCACAGGCTCCGGACGCGCAGGCTCAGCGGCCATGGCTCACGGGCCCAGCCACTCCGCGGCATGTGGGATCTTTCCAGACCGGGGCACGAACCCGTGTCCCCTGCATCGGCAGGCAGACTCTCAACCACTGCGCCACCAGGGAAGCCCCTAATCTCTTGTTTGACATCTTCCTCTCAATGTCTAACAGGTATTTGAAATTCACTGTGTCCCAAACTGAACTCTGTATCTACCTTGGCTCCCACTAAACCTTTACTCCCCCACCCTCATTGATGGCCATTCCCTTTTTCCTGCTGCTTATATGAAAAACCTTGAGTTCTTTACACTTCTCTTTTTCTTACAGTTCACTTCCCATTCAGCAGCAAATCCTGGTTCCTCTACCTTCACAGTATACACAGAATTTTTTTTTCTTTTTTACCAATGCCACTTGAAAATACACTGGATCCTTGACCTAAAGCATCTATTCTCAACAGCAGCCAAAGTGATTGTGTTAAAACGGAGTTCAGCACAGGTGAGATCATGCTGTTCCTCTGCTTAGAACTTTATCATGACTCCCACTTCACTCAGAGTAGAAGCTACAACTCTTACATTGACTTAAAAAGCCCAACATGATCTGACCTCTTTTTACCTTTTCCCTCTCATCTCCTGTACTCTTACCATCAAATCATCATGTTTGAGTCACAAAGGCCTCTTTTATGTTTTTAAATTAATTTTTATTGGTGTATAGTTGTTTTACAATGTTGTGTTAGTTTCTGCTGTACAGCAAAGTGAATCAGCTGTATGTATACATATATCTCCTATTTTTTAGACTTCCTTCCCACTTCGGTCACCAGAGAGCACTGAATAGAGTTCCCTGTGCTATACAGTAGGTTCTCATTAGTTATCTGTTTTATACATAGTATCAATAGTGTATATATGTCAATCCCAATCTCCCAATTCTTCCCACCCCCCCCTTCCCCCTTGGTATCCATACGTTTGTTCTCTATGTCTGTGTCTCTGTTTCTGCTTTGCAAATAAGATCATCTGCATCATTTTTCTAGATTCCACATGTATGCGATAATATACGATATCTGTTTTTCTCTTTCTGACTTACTTCACTCTGTATGACACTCTCTAGGTCCATCCACGTCTCTACAAATGAACCAATTTTGTTCCATTTTATGGCTGAGTAATATTCCATTGTATACGAGGGCCTCTTTACTGTTCCTGGAGCACATCAGTCAGGCTCCTACTCCTACTTTAGGGTCTTTGTACTGGCTATTATCCCTGAAGGAATGTTCTTCTTTCAGACAATCACAGGGATAATTCCCTCATTTTCTTCAAGTATTTTCTCAAATGTCACCTTTTCCATGAGGTCTACAATCCACTCAAAAATCCAGTTCTCCCAAAATTCATACGCACTTTTACTAGCTCTGTTTTCTTCTCTCTTTTATCTTATTACTCATCAACTTCTAACATACTAAATAATTTATTTTTTTTTATATGTGTTATTTATTGCAAGTCTTCCCCATGATAGAATGTTAGCTCTGGGAGCTAGGGATCTTTGTCTGCTTGTTCTCTAATCACAAATACTTATAAGAGTTCCTGGCACACACTAGGTACTCAATAAGTAATTCTTGAATATGTGAAAGAAATGAATAGAACTGCTATGGGAGAGAAATAATCATGTTATATCAATGACAATGAGATTTACTTAACAAAGTCCAAGCAGGGCCAGGAAATATGCCTCAGAGGGGGTGATATTGGGACTGAGATGCAAAGGATTAGAAGTAGTTACACAGGCAAAGTTAGGGGCTGAGGAGTAGATCCCGTCCGAGGAAACAAAGCATTAAGGTCCACTGGTGAAAAACCATTAGGGAAGATTGAAATGAATTAATATGATTGGGGCTTAGGAGAGCAATTGAAGAGATGATGAAAAACCATTAGTGAAGACTGAAAGAAATTTAGTATGATTGGGACTTAGGAAAGCAACTGAAGGGATGGTAAAATGTGGGACTAAAAATATAAGAAAGAATCATTAAAAAAAAAAAAACTTTAAGTAAAGTGACTGTGTAATTTATCTTCTAAATTAAGATATTCCTGAGAGTCAAAGTAGAGTTCTGTTAATAATGACACCAGGACAATGTATATAAACTGGTACTGTCCTGGGAAAACTGGGATTGCCTCATGTAAAAAAGAGGTTTTGATCATCCAATTATAAGCCATGTTATAAAATTTAGACTTTTTTTCCAATGGCTCATAGGAAGCAATTAAAAAGATTAATGCAGGAGAATGACTATAACATTATGTAAACATTATTACTCTGGTTGCAAGGTGGAGGAGAGTGTAGGGCAGCAAGGCCGGAGGCGTGCAGGAAAGATTGGGGGGACGATGCTGCAGTGGAGAGAAAGGATGAGGGAGGTTCAGACTGACCACACTGATAGCACTGAGAGTGGACACAGAAATGAATGACATTAGGGGCTACTTAATGATCAGATTTAGTAGAATTCAGTGAATTATGAAGTATAAGAGGAGAGGAATCGTAAAAGCCAGACTTGTGGCATTACCAATCAGAGGATGGTGATGTCCCATTTGTTTTTAGCAAAAAAAAAAAAAGGAGGTGGAAATGGTTTTGAATGAGGGGGGAAAGATTAGTTCAATTTGAATATGCCACATTGGTTTTTCCTGTAGGCACTCAGATAGAAATAACCCACGGACAGTTGAATATATTGTTGTGAAGAGAGGTTTAAGGTAATGATTTAGGTAAGGGAAGCATCAATTTATGGAGGACAGTTGAATCTCTGAGATCAGATGTGACTATTTAGGGAAAATGAATGTACAGGATGCAGAGGAAAAGCACTAGAGCGTTTTAAGAACCGTCACACACTGCGAAGATGTCCACTGGATTTAGTGACAAAGAGGAGGGTGGTGGCCTTGCCAGAGTAGTTTCAGTAATATAATGATTGCAGATTTCAGACTAAACTGGTAGAGACGTGAGGGAACGATAAGATTTCAAGCTGTCAACCGCAGACAGCTCTTTAGAGGAATTTATCTGTGAAAATGATGTCGTAACATGAGGTCCAGAAGCGTGTGTGTGTGTGTGTGTGTGTGTGTGTGTGTGTGTGTGTAGAGAGGTGAAGTCAGAGAGAGAGACAGAGGGAGAGAGGAGAGAATGAACCAGGGATTTTGAAAAAAAAAAAAAAAAATTTAGGTAATGAGGATGAATAAAAGACTGAAGTCCCTAAGGGGGAAATGGAGAAGGGTCCATGGCATAAGTGAAGGCACATTTATACTAAAATATTAGAAGTTAAAAGAAGAAACACATTTTCCTTGTGATAGAAACTAAATGCTTATAGGTGTGTAGGTGGTTTGGTGGCAAAATTTAAAGGAAATTCTTATTTGTCTGAATCTTTTTTTTTTTTAAATTTCTGTGTCACAGAAGCCAAGTTCAATGATGAGAATTAGATGGATAGGAGAGTTTTGAGAAAAATGGAGAGTATTTGAAAGACCCACTACTGATAACTGAATAGGGAACTGACAAAGAAACATAGAAGTGTCAGGTGCTTATATACTAATCATATATATGAAATCATCGTTAGAAGTATGGAATTAGCTTAATTCCTTACCAATTTAACAGATTAGAAATTTTGTTCTGTATACTTAGCTACACCAAGTTTGTAATACACACAAGTATGTTTTAAATTTGGCTTTGGAATTTTAAGAAAAATTAAAGTATATTTATTATTCATTTCAAAGAAAGAGACTAATGATACTTCCAAATGTATTTATACTTACCCATGCTGGCAATTATGCTATGTACAGGTAATCTAGATGGTCCATGATAAAATGACCTTGATACATTGCTTTTTTTCTGATGGTCGTGGTTTTTAAATGCTGAATTCTCTTCTTTGGTAATATTAATATAGAAACATATATCTGTAGCACTCATAATATATCGAGGACCTGGATTCAGCAAAATGTTTTTATTATCCTCCCTCCTAATACCAATCAAGCAGACACCAAACCTTAATTTAAAAAAAAAAAATAAAAGCGTTTAAGGGTCAAATTCAGCAATTAGTTGTTTTTTTTTAAAGTTCACATATGTAAGAAAATAATTAAACTATTATAAGGCAGAGAAAAATTAAAACCTCAAATAAGAACATTTCAAAGCTTGAAAAGATCCTAAAAGTTCAAGGCTCTTGTTTTTAAAGGAAAAAAAAACCCAACTATGTCCTTAGTGTGTTGCGAAATCAATTTAGTTAATTAAGACTATATATGTTTTTTAATAAAAAAGAATGGAATAAAAGATAATAGAAATATCAGAGTACATATCATTTAGTAAGGGTAAGAGTTTTATTGTAAATTTTGTGTGTGTATACTGGGTCTTACCATAAAATGTATACCTTAATTTGGTCAAAAAAGATAAAACAGTATTTCTTACTTTGGTCAAAAAAGTTTGACAGCCATTGGCTTAGGGGAGAGGAAGAAACTTACTCAAGGTCACAAGAGAAAGAATTAGGGTCCCTAAATTTATTTTTGTTCTGTCTTGAATTTTAGAAAAAAATTTAGAAAAAAAATTAAATAGCATTGAATAGGTACACAACTTAATTAGGAGAAATAATAACCACTAAATGTAACAGGTGTTACTTAAAATTTCTTATATACTTTTTCAGGTTATGTTCCAAACACAAAACCTTCTGAATATTTTTATCTCAATATGTCTTATAGTGTTACAAATAAATCAAACTTAAAAATATTTTTTAAATATAAAAAAAGTATATAAACAGAATCATGTTGGGAATTAAAGTAGAATACTTTAGATATTAGATTACTGGAATATACTAGATTATTACAAATCTTAAAAATGTTATATTAATATTTTATAATACTAATAATATATTATTTTCATGTTAGACATACTTTTTATTTCTTAAGTAAAGAATTTCTCTCAAAAAGAACAAAAATAATAATGTTCTATGTTTGAATTGGAAGGTACTATCATTTATTTTTTAACTTATTTTTCTGGACAAAGCAAGTTTTAAAAAAATGTCTAGCTTTTATAAATGTTATTTTTACTTTGCTTAAATTTTTAATCACCACTTCAAAATTTAGATTTATAAAGGAGATTCATTTTCATGTGAATTTTTACAGGATTAAAGTATTTTTAAAGATAAATTAAAAGACACTAAAGTCAATATTCTTACTAAGTTATATGATACACCCAAGAATCTTAACTCGTAGAGACCATACCAAAGGCCAGAATTCAAATGTCTCAATAATTATGTCAAAAATTCAAGAATAATTGCAACTTATGAGCACCAATATGGGTTATATTATGGAAAACTGTGTTTAAAGCTATGACTGATTAATATTTTAATTCCACTCTGGGAGTAGAAACATACTTTTTGTGTGCATGGAAAGAAGCATAGGTGAAGCTCTTTCCTTCATATTCAGCAAAAAATGTACTTTCTTCCAAAACGATGTGGTACACTTCATTCCCAGAGCATCTGCCGTACATCTTCTGCCATTGTTCTGGCGATTGCTGGCCTTCTCTGCAACAAAAGCATACACACATACACACAGAGAGAGACAAACAGGGAATGTGGTTCAAAAAACGGTCCTTGTCACACATAATCTGGAGTTTTCCAACTGTAAGAATGGACAAGCACAGTTCAAAGAAGTTATCTGTGTGGTGCTCAAAATGATGACACGATTTACAAAGAGTTGCTATAAAAATTTCAAAACTAACACAACATAGAAGCTTGGGAGATGGCAAATTTTTAAAAAGTAGAAGGTTTTCACAATCCAGTTAATAAAAGCATTTATTGTGATCATGAACCAGTGAGCAATAGCATCTGATTTTTAGTCTTTGTTTATGTATATCATGTCATGCACGACCTATATATAATACTTGCCTTATAGTCTCAGTAATACAGCCCACTTCATCCCCTTTATGATACCTGCTTGGCTCCTGTATGTAACTGACTTTGCTTTGTTTTTAAAATTATGAATACATACATCTCACATTATCAGTTTGATTTTATAGGAAACATACTCTTAATTTCTGTCCATATCATAGCAATGGATTTCTTCCAATTGTGTACCAGTTAAGAAAAGATACCTCTTTGTGATAAAAGTAAGGATCTCCAAAAGAGATTGCCAGAAGTATTTTTTAAAAGAAGATAAGTTTATCACAGAAAGTACAGTTTCTTTTTTATTCTAGAATATTCTGCTCAGTGAGTTTGGAAATTTATTAAAAACTCAACTTATGACAAAATTTACTGTGAATATACAATAATGATTTTTCCCATTTTGTACAATAAATTCCATTTACTTTTGGTGAATAAAGTTTATGAACTCTGTAAGTACAACAAATGCACCTTCTAGAAGAAAAGAGATGAATTTACAAAAATCAAAATATTTCATCATAACCTCTGTAGCTTCTGGATGGATTAAAGCAGACAAGTCATACTTATCATATTTTAAACTCTGAGTTTTGTCTGAAAACATTATAAAACATTTATAAACATTTTCAAAGTGTCAATAAATTTTTAAAAAACCATATATTTTCCAGGTATGTTTCACTTGCACTTCATTCCTTCTTAAGGATGTTTAAGGGTTAAGAGTCTGAGCCTTGGAGTCTGACTGCCTGATGTGAACCCTAACTCTGCAATCTTGGGTGAGTTATTTAACTTCTCTGTGATACTTTACTTCTGTGAAAAACATTATCAGTCTCACTGGGTTGGAGAAAATGCAGTGAATCAAGTAAATCATTTAGCAGATGTTGGGAACACAGTAATCTTCAGTAAATGTTCGCATCCATTATTATTTTGCTGTTATATCTTCCTCATTGCTGAATTCGGGAGCCACTTTCAACATTCCTAGTCACAATATGAACAATATTGCTCTTAAAATCTTCACCCTTTCTTCTGTAATGTTAACATATTTTTGAAACTAGGAAAATAAAACAAAACACGTTTGACTATTGACTATATATGGCTACACCTAACTACTACTTCCTAAGAATGATTGTTCTTGGTGGAGAAAACTCTTCCTTTGGCCAACAGAAATAAAACTATTTTTGGTATGTAACATGTTGCTACTTGGCAAGATAGTACTTGGCAAAGATAGAATTCGTTTAAAGGGCTGAAAATGTAAGAGAAGGTGCCAGTAATTCATCAGGGTTTGTTTGTCATCCAAAAGGCCTCATGGGGTCAAATAATTGTCACATAAGGGCACTAAAAGCTATTCAAGAGAATCACAAATCTAATTCCAGCAGCTGAAATGGAAATACAATATGGTAACTTGGAAGGAAACAGAGAAGGACAGGGTCAGACAAGGACAGCTCTGATGAATTTCCTTAAATCACTTGCTGGTTCCAAGCTATTTTATACTGGCACCTTTTTACCAAACATCTTTAATGAATCTCTAAATTCAGCTAATTGTAAATATATAATTCTTTTTTCTTTCACTTCATGTTAATTACTTTAGAAATGTTGGAAATGAGCAACTCCATCTACTACTAATGGGTATGTCCAAGTCTCACTTATTAATTCCTACATGAAATATTTATTGAGCACTTGGGATGCGGCAAGAAAAGTTCTAGATTTCTAGGCGATGACAGTTGACAAAAAGGGCAGACATACTTTCTTTCTTGAATCCTTTAGTGGAGGAAAACTGACAATACAGCAAATTATGTGTTGGAAGTGATAAGTGGTGGGGGGAAAAATAAACCAGAGAGGGAAATCGTTTTCAGGGGTGGATTGGAGTATAAATAGTACGACTGAGGGAGACCTCGCTGAGAGAATGACATTTAAGTAAAAACCTTGAAATGGATGAGAGAGGTAATCACAGGGGAGAAGACTGTTTCTGGCAGAAGCAGCAGCAAGTGCTTCCCTGAGGCAGGGGGATGCCTGGTATGGCTGAGGAGAAGCAAGGAAGCCAGTTTGGCTGAGGTTGAGGAAGGAGGAGAAAATGAGGCCAGAGAAGTAACTGGCAGGGAGACAGGTCATGAAGGGATTTCTAAAATCTTACTACTTTGACCTTTGTAGGGAAAATTTGCAAAAGATTCTGACTTATACTTCGCAAAAATCCCTCTGGTCATTGTCCTGAGAATAGACTGAAGCAGCAGCAATGAGCAGTGAGGAGTTTATTGCAATGATTTAGCAAGAAGATGATGGCTTGGACCAGGTGAGATCCTGGATGTGTTCTGCAAGTGGACCTGAAAGTATTTGCTGATGGAAGAGAAAAATAAAAATAAACACCTTAAGTGCCCATGGCCATCAGAAATATGAAAATTAAATGAATAAATATCCATACAGATAAAAGTGAAAAAGTAAGTACTAATGCTTATAAAGCACCATGGGGAAATCTCAAATACAAAATGTTAAAAGGATTAAGTAGCTCTAGGTGGCTCATTTAGTTAACTAGGTCCTAGGGAAGAAGACACATAAATCAGAGATAGTATATGTGGGCTTCACAAACATGTGGAATGTTTATTTTTTCTAAATTTGGAACGCTAGGTTCATGGATGCTCATAATAATATTCTTATACCTTTGAATATCTGAAATATTTTCTAACAAATAAAAAATAAAATGCATCACCAAAGTGAAAACACAAACCAGGGCTAGTAGTAAGGATTTTAAGCTTTTTGTTGTTATGTTTTTCACTGCTACCTTTCAAGGCAGCATTACAGGCTACACTATACAAGGCCTCCCTGCTTACCAATATTTTGAGACTAACATTTTATTTAGGCAGAAAGTAATATTTTCCCCTCTTACTATGAGGAATGTATCAACAATTTTTTTCCAAAAAGCTACCCAGTTATTCAATTTATTGAATAGTCCATCTTTTCACACCCTGGTTTAAAATAACTCCCCTATCAAACACCAAATTCCTGCTGCCTATGGGCCTCGATCTCAACTTTCTAGTCGGTCAAATTGATTTGCCTCTACCCATTACCTAACACTACCTATGTCGACTATTGTAGCTATAAAATTGTTTCAGAATACATCAGGATAATCCCTCTCGTTATTATTCTCCTTCAAAAATTTTCTTGCTATTCTTGTCTCTTCATTTTTCCATACGAACTTAAAATCAGCTGGTATACTTCAAGAAGAATACCTTTGATATGATTATTGGGATGATTAATAAATTTGGGTGAAATTGACAGCCTTGTGATATTGACAATCTTCATTTGTATGTTTATTACTTGTCTATTTCTTCCACCATCTCTCACTCATCCTGCAGCAGAATGTAAGCACCAGAACTTCTCAGTCCATTGTCTATCCTGATCTCTGTGGGATCTCCAGTAAATAGAACATCTTCTAGAATACAGTGAATGTTCAAAAAATGTTTGTTTAATGACAGCATTTAATTCTTCTGACAATCTGTGAGATGCATGCTAGTATTATGCCCATCACACAGATAAAGAAACTGAGGCTCAATGGTTTCAAGTCTTTGGTCTTGCCAGCATGGACAGACCAAAGAATTCAACCCAGGCAGTCTGGCTACAAACACTGCCCCTTACTCCGAAGCTTCAGTTCTGAGTAACTCCAATATTTAGTGTGAATGTGTAGCTGTTCTATTTCTTTTCTTCAGGATACTAGAATGTGAGAGCCAAATTTTCCTTTTACCCTTATTAATAATACAAGGCATTTTATAGCCTGTAGATTTGTAAAAAACAAAAACAAAATAAAAAACTTCTGATTTGTCTTCAACTTACCATTCTACCCAAATTTTCTTTTGTCTTTTCCCACTTTATGTATCTGGGGAGACTTAATTCAAGATGATTTTTGAATGAGAGGAAATGTATCATATAAATAAATAATATATTTCCAAATATTTTATACAAGAGAATTCTTTAATTCTACCACTTAAGTAGCTCTTAAGTAGCACTTACCTATTTCTCCACCATCCACTCTTACACTCCTAAAAACTGTGCTAACCCATCTCCTAGTTTCCTTGCTTCCTGTGTTGATTGGTGCTACATTAGGAGTGAATTTCAAAATCTCAAATCACTTCATGTCACTCTCCTGCTGAAAATAGTTAAAGGGCTTCCTCCTTCCATTTGAAAAAGGTGAACTTTCTTACCATCATTACAAAGCCCTCCTGACCTATGCCATGCCTGTCTTCCAAATTTCAAATATCATTCCTGTGTCGTTTCTCTTGAGTTCTCCAGCCATGAGCAGTCTTTAATTTCCCCTGAAGAAGAAACTCTCTTATCTTGGTCTTCTCACAATGCTGTTCTTTCTTCCTCCTATGCCTTCCTTGTTCCTGGACCCACAGCTCAGGCATTACTCTCTCAGCTGTGCGGTGGTGTACTTCCTTCATGATATTATAACACTAAATTGTATTAACTAATCCTTAATGTCTTGCTTCCCTGTGAAATAGGTCCCATGAGGAAAGGGATCATGTCCTGTTTACCACTGTATCTCTGAGACAAGACATCTGTTCTGACACAGAGTAACTGCTTAATAAATGTTTTGTTAAGTGAACAAAGAATAACCTAACAATGTTCTTCATGCTCAGTTACTAAATGTTCTGCTTTTC